AGGTGCATTTTCATGAAAGCAACATCTGATCATGGAGTAAATACATCCCAAAATACATAAAACTCATGCTGGATTTTAAAAAAAAGCATTGTGAGCAAAACCTTGAAGTTACTCCCAACTGTTCGGCCTGTAATGGCCTTGCTTCCAAACCTTTGGCCTGTAGTGTACACATAATCACACATAATCAAAAAAAAATGGTCTACTTTGTTAATATAAATCTAAAAAGACTGATGATATGTATCCATTCATATCATGTTGCAAATAATGAAAAAAAAAAAAAAAGAGTAAGTTGGATGATAAACTTCATTAACTGACACAAGCAAACTTGTCTTTTGACTAAGATATTGGGGCAAAGTCATGGTTATGACAGACTGGCGTGTATCCAGAAGTGTAATGAATTTTTCAAAGATGTTTAATCTCACTGACAATTTCTGACAACCAAACTATGACTATTCTAAAGCTATTTAACCAGTTAAAATAAGAAGTGTATGGTTTAACGAGGGCTATAAGCTCCAGTTTTAGCCAGAGGGGGGCAGAACTAAACAATTCATGATTTGTTGAACCCAACTACCAATATTTATTTGCCCCAACACTAACAGCCTTGTAAGATACCAAAAGACCCAAGCCTCGATCCTCAGTGGACTTAGATGAATGCTTTTTTTTAAATTAATGTTTCTTACAACTCTCAAAGTTCCCATGTTTTAAGAGGGTCTCTGACCGAACAGATCTAAACGGTCCTCATCCTGGTACCACCTTGAGGTAGCTCCCATAAACAATGTCCAAATCTGACACCAGTCCAAGCTTACTTTATTTGGTTAGATTGACAACACATATCTCTTTATTTTGTATCTCTTATGACACTCTATTTCTTATTTCTTGGTTTTACTACTGGTAAAAATTGTGACTCATCATCGGTCAAAGGTATTGCAAAACCAAATCAAAATGTATCCCAGATGTTTTGCAAGTGTTTGAAAAATAAATAAATAAATAAAATAAATTAAAAAAAAAAAAGAAAAAGAAAAATGGCTTCCATGATTGCATCCAGTCAGCTGGACTGCAGGGACTCAAGCCCCATCTCAGTAAACTAGCAGCATCATTGTAGTGACTTAGTTTTTGATACTTTATGGAGGAAAAAACAAAACCTGCTATTGCAACAGCAAATCAGTGTTGGTGTTGAGAACCTCATTATTATTCACAGGCACAAATGTGAGCACTCCTTCTGAGAACTTGGACTTGTGAAGAGCAGACCATTTATCTCAAACTCCTTGAGTGCACCACTGATAGTTACAATGACAGTGCCGTAAACCACAGACAGATAAACTGACATGATTGAAGTTTGAAAACAGTGATAGTTAACAGGTGAAAGGTTAAGGTGCTTCAGTGGAAAACTGATGCTCTCAGGAAGTAAACACAGTAAACAACAGGAGTAAAGAGAAGATAAAATGAATGTATCTCTATCAGAGCGACAGTTTTAATAGCTATTGAAGAGCAGCAGTTATTCAGCAAACACACCTTCATTCATCACTAGAGAGGACGCACAGGTGTGGCCGACCATGAACACATCCACAGGTAAACATGGCCTCTGGGTGATCATGTTCAGACTGGTCTTTAACCTCAGGCAAAAGAAGAAAATCCCGTCACTGTCAGGCCCCAGGGGAGAGTTTAAGCCCCTTTTCAGAGGAGTTTCTGCTTGTCTGTTTTGTGTTTTCTACTGTTGTGTTTATATTGTAGAAAGGTTTTTATACTCCATAACACAGACAGACATTATTCTGCTGTCACATTTTTAACACTTTTCAACACCACCTGCTTTGAAATGATAAATCTGTTCCTCTTATATACATAATAGTTTTTAAAAGTATCAAAGCTTATTATTAATCTATTATGATGATCTGCAGTCAAATCGTCAGCTAAAAACAACAGAAGTAAGCAGCAGTGATTGGTTTGATTACCTTTACGTCTCAAACTACATCGATTTGTCTTCAAATTTGTCTTCATTGAAAATTACACAATTTTTGGTCCTAATAGTTATTTTTTTTTCCCATAGTTTTTGAGATTTTGTGTGATCTTAAAATTTTCAACTCATGCTTTTGAATACATCAACAATATTCTCTACAAAATGATGTTATGTAGCCATTTGAATCCAAGGCTGATCTTCAAGCAGGGTCAAATATATATATATATATATATGGCACTGTTATAAATCTGCCTTGCAGTTTTTTTTCTAGTTCAAAATCAAAATGTTTTGCTTTATTTCTTAAATAATATGAAAAGTTAGCGGTGATATGTAATCCTATTGTATTTAAAGGGTTAGGATTCTGAAATTGATTCAATTTTTTTGACTTCATGTTTAAGACTAAACCAAACTAGATAAATTAAGCTGTGGCGGCATAAAAAAGTAATGATGCAGTGAAATTGTTGACACCGCTAATCAGTGACATAAATTAAACTGCAATGATTGTTTAAAAAAAAATCTGGTTGCATGTATTTTAAAAAAAAAAAAGAAAGGATAACACCGTTTAATATTAAGTTTATAGCACTTTGTGAATGCAAATAGAAGGTGGCTATTTTTGTCCATGATCAGGCTGAAAGGGAGAATAACTATGTATAATAATTTATTTTTTCTGTTAATCAGTTACATATCTCTGTGCTCCTGATAAAAAATGAAAAAACAGTAGCACTGGAAATAAAGAGACTTTTCATTTTAGTGTTGTTGACCAACAAGTGCAGTATGAACACAAACTGGCATTTGAAGGGTTACAATTTCAAAAAGTGATGGATATGCACGATAAGAACTGATGTTAGTTAAAAACTTTATGCAGTAAAAGTTACAAAAATCTTTTATGTGTAAAAAAAAAATGACACACTCCATCTCTTAATGGCCACTTTTGGCCCAATCAGGCTGAGAGGGTGGTGATTATGAACACAGCCAGATAACAGACACATTGTGTCTCAAATCTTTATCTAAAATAGCATTTCTCTATGCGTCCTTGTTGGAGGGTTAGAGTTAGAGAGTGTGTGACATGAAGAGCCAGTTTTCGGTCTCATTCGGAGTGAAGTGGAGCTTCCATTTTACCATTTTATTTCCATGCTGCAGCACACAGACTGCTGCTTTGCATACAGTTAGAGCGCAGCTCCGGACAGCAACAGCACACAGTACAGTCAACAGTCACCTGCAACACCAACACTGCACATCAACTCATATCAAAACATAAAAATATAAGGCGGTGTGTGCGATAACAATGTCTAAAAAAATACTCCCTTTTAGTGTTGGTTAACGGTGTCACCCTTTAGGGGGCAAAAAATCTTTCAAACAGCTTTAGGTAGAAAGTTGTTTTGGGCTTGTTGTCAACAATGGGGATAAATAATCTCTATGTGAATGTGAGGCCAGTCACTGTCCAGGATCAAGAAAGAAAAGTTAATTCTAAGAAAGAAGCAGATTGGTTTAGTTACACACTTGGTGGCTGGATGATTTAAAAGGTCTGCTGAAGGTAGGGTAGCCAGACATTAACACTCAAATGTTATCAGAAAAACTTATTGAACAAAAAAGTACAACGTTATTAAGTTAAGGTAACATTTATAATGTTTTAAAAAATCTAAGCAAGAAAATAAATAAATAAGCTAAAACAGACATTTTTGAAATAGGATATGAAGTACAGTGGATTTTTATATTGAAAATAAAAATGGACTTTAAGATAACTTTGAAAGTAATCTAGTAAAAAGCAGCTGTTGTGTTAACTTTAGAGTTAAAACAAATCAAAAAGTGTTTCTGTAGAATAAGGAGTATAAGTTTTTACAGCTGAGCCCTGAGCTGTAAAGAGTTTATTTGATCATTGTAATAATCTTATCCCCACAGTGAACCTGAAAACACCTGACAGTCAAACTTTAGTTTTAGTGTATCTGCAGAAATGTGGATGTTTAGTGGACAGTATCACAGTGAACTCTTTCCTTACAGATGTATCAGGAGGGCAGGGCTGATGTGTGTTTATACTACCGTACAGTTTGAAGTACCTGATCCCGCGGACGTTCTTGGAGTGACCTCTCTTATTATTTGCATGATGAGGTTTAGTCTCAGGCTGTTTGGATTTGCCTTGCAGAGTCAAGTGAGAGGGGATGCAGTTCATTTTCCTCTACAGCAATGCAGTGACTCTGCAGGTGATTGGACAGAGCTGTGCAGATAGTTGACATATATGTCACTATTTGGAGAAATACGAAGGGCAAATGAGGAAACATGGTGGAGATTTTACAGAGCGGTTTTAAAATTCATTCATTCCAGCATGAGATTTTCTGCTCATGTTTGCTGCCGCCCATCCCAGTAGACAAAGCAACACAACAACAGCACTGAGGGCATGTAAGTGCTGTTAAGTAAGTACATAACCAACAGACAGCAAGTGCTTGACGTCTGTTGTGAATGAATGTGTGAATGGCTTTTGTACAGATGATAGATACTCTGTAATCCCAGGGGACAATAGGAACAGAAAGAAGCCAAAAAAGAGAGAAAGAGCTGATTTACCTAGCAGTTAAGGCTGTGGCTCTCTGTGCTTGCTCCTGTTACTCAGACCGTGCCCTTTGTCTGGGGCCGGGGCTTGGTAGGGCCAAACATTTGCATGCCGAGGGCCACTTGAATGTGAATCTCTCCGGATTCTCACTACCTGACATGCAAAACTGGTGGGGGACCAGTTAAAATGGCGCAAGCGCACAGTCAACACAGGTTTACTTCAATCATAATACACCCCCCACCCTCCCCTCTACAGCTCTGAACCTTCAGCTGTTGTCTCAGAGAGGTATGGAAATGAGCGCTGTGATTTAACTGGGATACTGCACCTGCACGTAGTCGAGGGATGAGGGGTGGATGTAAAGACAGGAAGTTAGCTGAGGTCGAAGTTTCTCTACAGCAGAGGGTAGACCTGGAGCAGTGTGACATTTTAGGACAAGGACTAAGGGTGAAGGATCAGCTTAAAGAGAGACAAACAGAAAGAAAAAAGTAGAGAAAGATTGAAAATATGCCGAGGTCTTTTCTGGTGAAAAAGAAACGAGGAGCATGTGGAGCGTGGCAGTGGAAAGAGCCTGAGCAGCTGGAGTGGAAAGACGACAAAAAAGAAGGTAGGAGTTTATAGTATCTCAAAATTAACATTTAAGATTTCAAAAGTAAGTTGGTTTGAGGAGGTTTTGCTTTTACAAAGTAAAGGCTCAATTCCCACAAAATTGAATTCCTGTTAAAAATTTGAATTCAAAAATAAAAAATGTTGATGGTTTGCAGATCATTTGAAAACTACATTTAATTGCAATACAACGAAAACAACAAAACAAATACTGAAACTTAAAAAATCATATTGATTTAGTTATGATTGATATATACTTTAGATTGGATTCCAGATACACATGAGGGACTGATGAAGTTAAAATCAGGGAGGGATTCAACACTTCGTGAGAGACTGTGTGGGCAAGTGAATTTTAGAATACTGGTGATGAGCTTTAAATTGAAAGAATGTGTGGGATTGGTCATCTACAAACATGAGATCAATAAAAGACTCAGGATATCTTGAGACAATCCAGTTAGAGATGGTCCTAATCTTTTGGACCTTGGGTTGCACTACATCAAAAACTGACATGACTCTCTAAAAGAATTCACTGCAGGAGTTCTAAATCTCTTCTAAAAACCATTATCTATGAACTGCATCAGTGACCTCTCTGGGCAAGACTCCATTGAAGGTACAGTAAAGTAGAAAACCATGGACCACCTTGCTTCAATAACCAACCTTAACCTTTGGAGGTGCTCAAGTGCCCACGGCTGGAGGCACGTCTGGTCTGACAGATTTAATTCTCAACATCATTTCTCATTTCAGGAAGTGAAAACTCAAAGCAGGAGGAATCTTGCAGTCCTGACACTGAACAGAGCGCCCCTCTGCCTCACACTGTTTCTGCACAGGATGATCTGATGGCTGCTAAGGGGAGAGTTCCTGTGCCTTTACAAGGGTCTGGAGCACCTGCAGCTGACACTAGACCAGACTGGTCCTCCATGATGCTCCGAGGCTCCTTCTACCACCCCAGTGCCCTGACACTGATCAGCAGAGCTAAGGTAAACTCAGACTTTACCCACCCAGCATGAAGTTACTCCTCCACACTCAGGAATGATGTGAATACAGCTGAAAACTGCTAAAAGAAATAGACTGAAAGGATTGTGATAGCAGCAGTGCTCTTTGTGCTCTTTGTTTGTAAGGTTAAAATCGGACCTTTAAACCAAACAGGGTAGTGTTTTTCAAAAAGCCTTAAGAGAGGTAACATAATGCACACCATTTGATATCAGAGATTAAATATTTCAAGATGCCCAATACCCCGCACATCCCTAGAAATCAGACTTGGAATTTGTGCATATAGAGGACAAGACAAGCAAGGACTGCTTTGGCCACAGGGGGAGCCAAAACCACACAAATTAAAAGTTTCTCACAGTTTCTCACTTTAAGTAGGATAAAGTGACACAATAGGACAAAAGACACAATATATGTATATATGTATATATATATATATATATATATATATATATATATGTATTGTGTCAGCTTAAATGAATGGAATTAAAGAATACACGCCAACACATTAGTCCAACTGAAACTCCAGCAAATCAAGTTTTTGTAGATAATAAAGTCAATGATTGTTTTCCTCTTCTGTGTATACATAGTTGATAGTCAAAAGCTGAAAAAGGGGCATATCGCTACCTACTGACTTGTTTTTATTAATACATTCTTCCCTCTATTAGTCTACGCAGAAAAGGACAGTAGTTCAGTTTTTCTCACCTTATCAAGCAATAGCTTATCTTAACTGTGCATGTAGGCATACAGAGTGAGAAAAATGCTATGAGGTGACTCAAAGGCAGGACTGCTGGCTGCACCTTTAGATGGACGGAAGTTTGTCCATCCAGTTACAGTCTGTGTCCATTTATTGTTTTAATACATGGAATTATAAAAGTGGTCACACGGAGCGCACTCGTTCCCCGCAGAGCCAAGCTCCCTTAAACTGTTTAATTGTTTCCCTGCGGGCCTGCAACTGTGTCTCGCAGTCCTGCACCAACCAACTGTTTCCCTTTTTACCTGGTCTCCTTTCTCCCCACTGTTGGTGTTTAAGGGTGCATGCTCGATGACTACACGTCACACACACACATACACACAACCACTTGCTTGCTGCCATCTTCCAAGCCAAACCAGGGCACTTCCTGGTACCTCAGTAAATAGCGCAAAGTGGCGCAGTTTTGGGGGTCATGTGACCACCCAGCACACCAATATAGTTCACACCAATATAGTTCATTCGAGGTGTTTTGGTCTGAGTAAATGTGTGGTCAGTGATTAAGGTTTAAGCTGTATGGAGGGCTATTACTGCCTTTTTGTCCATGTTGAAATGTCTGATTATTGATAAATTTTGTGTTCTAGTTTGCATATTGTGTCTAAAATCCTTGTAATTGGTTTATGGATTTTCCCACGGGAGGGGCTAAGAGGAATTTAAAGGTGGAGTAGGCAGGATTCCATTAAAGAAGCGTCTTTTTTGCGGTGCATATACAACAAAGCTTTTAATATCAGTCAATAGCCATTAGTTAGACATTTGGGAATATAATGATATCGCTGTGTTTTGTTACGTGTTTTTTTTGCTGTTTTGGAGGAGTTGGCGTGAATAAACACCCCCCACACCAGAGTTTCGGCTAAGCCATCATTTTTTGTCCAGAACCAACCCTTGACAGTGTTAAACAGACCTCACAGTGATCATAACAAGAATCCAGATTAGCCAATTCAGTTCTATAATTGTAAGGGAACAAAAGATTGTGTTGCTTTAGCGGGACATTCACATTCAGGAGTCTACTACATGCATCCATATGGTCATCTAATTAATTAATTTAAGTAGTTACACAAGACCAACCTACAAATCAAATTAGAGAGAGTCGTATGTTTCCTGTGTCTGCTGCACTGTCCCTGAACTGCCCAAAGAGACTGTTGTTTCCCTGCTACTTATAGTTTAGCTGAAGGAATTTTCTACAGCTACAGACCTTAGTGTACATGAACACCACCTCCTCCTCTTTTTCTGCTGCACTGACTTCATTTGGTCCCAGTACCTTGTATTTTTATACATTTATACATTTTATACATATATATTTCTTGGTGTTGAAAGGTGCACTGTGAGAAGTCTAGTCGTATGAGCTCATAGATGTGAGGAAATCTGGTTTCTCAAATTTGTCTTTAGAAGCTGAAGTGATGTTTTTGTGAAGATGTCATTTCTAAGCAGATCTGTAAACTAATCTCTCCCCACCAGGCTCGTCCCCGCTCGTCCCCTGGCTCAGGAGACTTTGTGTGCTCGGTGTGCCACAAAACGTTCCCCCTTCAGCGCATGTTGACCCGACACCTCAAGTGCCACAGTCTGGTGAAGAGACACCCCTGCAGGTTCTGTGGCAAAGGATTCAACGACACTTTCGACCTCAAGAGACACATGAGGACACACACAGGTCAGAGGTGGACTTTTTTTCTCTCTCTTCATCAACTGATGAACAAAAGTTTTTTGAAGGGTTTTGGCTTCATAAATTACTTTGTCTGCTGAGCAAATTAATTTACTTGTGACAATTTACACACCAGCATACAGGGGTGTGTCTCGACTTTTTAGTCTGGGGTGGCTCAGCTGTGATTCTCACTTTTGCTGGGGTTGCATCTGTCATTGTACTGTGCAGCATGCTGTATTGGAAGAAATAGGATGAGAAGAAATCTATATGTTTTAGCTATTTTCATTCCACAGTGCAAATGAATAACTGCAAGCAATTGGCTCCCCCTATTGGTGAAAAAACAGAAGTCAACAAATCTTAGACCAAACCAAATGATCACCTGTTTTTTTTTCACTCAATATTCTTATGGTTATTTTGGGTTTTCCCATTTACAGGTGTCTGATAGGCGTCTGATATTACTGGCATAACTAACTTTTATTTTATTTATTTATGTGTTTTTTTATTTTATTTTATTTTTTTTGGGGGGGGGGTTTGCCTTTTTTTTAATGGATAAGACGGCAAGTAAAGAAAGACAGCAAATGTAGAAAAAAGAGAGGGGATGATATGCAGCAAATGGTCAGGGCCAGGACTCAAAACCTCGACCACTGCGAAGACTAAGGCCTCCTAATGTGGGGCATGCTAACTCTCTAGGCTATCTGCAAACCCCCTAACTCACAATTTTCAATCAATTTAAAAAAATACAAAAAAAAAACCAAAACATTTATAACTAAAATGAAATTGAAAACATACAGCCAAAATGGAGTAAAAACAAAAAACTAACAAAAAATTTGAAACTGTTGTAACTTTGTTCCAGATGCTACTCCCCCTCAGGACAAAATCATTCAATCACATGACATTACCACCCATTCTGAATCTTCTAGTATTGATCTAAATGAAAATTATCCATGTATCTTTTTTGTTTTATTGTCCTTTATCAGAGTATATATTAACTCTTTAATATTTCCTCAGTCTGCTTCTTCACCATCCTACCACAACATCATCCTTGTTTACTTGAGCTATCACACTGTTGAATGAGCCGTTCACATTTACCTGTAAGTCTCTCACACATATTTGTGACCCCGTGCTGCAGGTATACGCCCCTACAAGTGTGAGCTGTGTGAGAAAGCCTTCACGCAGCGCTGCTCTCTGGAGTCTCATATGAGGAAGATTCACGGCGTTCACCAGCAGTATGCTTACCGCCAGAGACGCTCCAAAATCTTTGTGTGTGAGGATTGTGGATATACCTCCAGCCGCCCTGATGAGTACTTTCTTCATGTGAGGCAGTGCCATCCTGGAAGCCCCTCCCTTCGCAGGTACTACCGCCGCCAGGCTCATGAGAACAGCAGCTTTGCATCAGCGGACCGTAAGCTCCACCCCTACCTGCTCTACCCGCCATCTGCATACTACATGTAGGACTCATTACGACGCCAAACTGCAATATAATGTATTTATAAAGATAAAAGTAAGGGTTATTAGCTTTAATAAAGTATTTTAATATGTAGCATGTCATCTAAATGTTCACTTAGTTCCCATTGTTCCCATATTTTTTTCAACTCAAATGTTTCTTTCTAATACATTGTTTATTGTTGAAATAAAATCATTACGAGAAATGATTTATGTTTTTGTTTTTATAATGCATAAATGTGTTTTTAGACCCATTCGGCCAATGATTCAGCAGCTTAACCAAACGTAATGTCCCTTTGGGTTAAAACCACAGACTGTATATAGATTGGACGCCGTCTGCCTCCTTGCTAGGTGAAGCCACTCCAAGAACAGGTGACGGCCTGCAGTATAGGTCATAAATCCTAAATCCTCCTCCAGCAATCCCTATGAAGCTGTGGACAAACTTTAAAAATTTATCACACAGAATATTAATTTTTCTCCCCCCTGCTTGCGATGTTGACATGTAGTCACTGTATGACTGGTTTGTGCTCAAGTCCTCTTTTTTTTGTACAGCTTTGTTTTTAAAAGTTATTAGAGGGTTCATGTTTTCTATGATTGACACTTGATACAGCCTATGGGCGTACGAAGATTGCGTAGATCACCCAGGGAATATGCTGTTTGAGCCGAGCGTCATCACAGCGACTCTTGGCGACTCTTCCGCCGAATGTGTACAATGCTACTGTGCAAGTGGTGAAGTGCATACATCGCTACTGCGCAATGTTGGTTTTAGGAAATAGAGAGCAACGCAGAATTACAGAGAGCTTTTCAGCTTCAAATCCGTATACTGGCAGAAGGCGGAACCAAGAAGTCAATAGCAGTGGTTCTCAAGTCCAGTCCTGGAGGCCCACTGTCCTGCATGTTTTGGATGTTTCCCTGCTCCAACACACCTGATTCAAATGGTCAGCTCGTCATCAAGCTCTGTAATGGCTTAATAACGAGCTCATCATTTGAATCAGGTGTGTTGGAGCAGGGAAACATCCAAAACATGCAGGACAGTGGGCCTCCAGGACTGGACTTGAGAACCACTGTCTATGGTTAAAACTTTGACACCAGTGCTGCACATTCTTGAGACAACCAAATGCATGAAAGTACAGCTTTTTACTGTTAACGCAGGGAGCAACCACCTTGGATTTGAACTAAGGGTTGCTCAAATTTCTGGGTAAAATTTTGACTTTAGGGGGCGTTTCAGGTGACATATTTAGCAGGTATCTCAGGATTTGTGACTCCTTAGATAAAATTGAATGTGTTATTTTCTGACTACCATCTCAGAGAAGAAAGCCCACAAGACATGTTTGGAGTAATCCTAGATATGAAGTATATGATTTTTTTAAAATGTTTGAAAATTGTCTCTAAAATCATTTAAAAAAAATATATATTAACAGCCAGTTTTATTAAACAAAGAGTAAACAATGATGTTAGTGGTGCCAACTCTCAAAAACATTGTCCTTGTGGGTACAAGAAGGTGGATGTGGATGATTCAGGTGGATGTTTAAAGTTCCAGCTAGTTTTAAGTCTCTGGCACAATCTTGTCCCAAGTTGTGCATAAAAAAACTTGTCATGATGAAAGACTGAGACAGCACATTGTGATGATTTTGGATCATTTGTTAATTTATTTTATTAAGTCAGGTCATACTCGGACTGCCTGGCTGCACTAAAATTATTCAATCAGACATCTCAAACCATTCGCTTTATTCACACTCATTTATGCACTGAGCATTCTTGTGCAATTTAAAGTTTAATATATTTGACAATTGACATGCTGAGCAAATCTACCCAACCTGTTGCACCTCCTTAACCACAGGCAGATATTTTCTCCGTCTAATGTTTCAACATAAGTTTAAAAAGAGAGGAATTTCAGCCAGACAGATCCACTGATGTCTCATTTTCCGAATACGTAAAACCTTCATCACATTGCTCTACCATCTACACTGGGGTCTCTCTGTTTCTTCTCATTTTAGTTGTCCTTCCTTTATTGCACATGCACATTCAGTGTGCAACTAAGTTTTAACTATCAAGGCACTTTGTGACCTTAAGTGTTTAAAAATAAGATCTTAGTTAAATTAACCTTCAATATTTCTGTATCCCTGCAAAATCCAATAAATAAATTCAGAGTGGAACTTGAACACGGAGTGATGTTTCACATTTCTGATAGAAACTATGATGCAACAGAGAGTGCAAATGTTACCTCGACTGTAACATGTCAGTGCAAAGCTGCTTTCCGTATTGATTCGTGCAACCACCATCTTCATCTTGTCTTTCTCTTTCTGTTTATCTACATCTTTGCCACACAGACACCTGACTTTTCTTTAGTAACGCTTGTGTCAAAGACTGAGTGCAAGCTAAGGCAGGGGTTTGGTTGGACGCATCAACAGCATTCAGTAATCAGCAGAGTAATAATCCAAGAAAAAGTGCACTTGATAATGAGGACTGATTAAGAAACAGACTTTTTTAAATCCTGAGGAAAAGTTGAACCATCTGACCCTGAAAACATATTTTTACATCTGGTTCTAGTTATCAATTATATCAGTTTTTTTGCTCAATAAATAATCTAAATAAAGAGATTCCATTGCTGCTAGTCCACATAGAAATACATGATTAAAGTAAAAGATGCAGAGAACAAATCTAAGTTTTTTTTGTTGTGAAACATTCACTTGTGTTTTTGTGTGTGATAAAAAGACACAACCCTGTTAAGATACTTTGCATTCAATGTAAAAGAAAAAAAGTACACATCTCTACAGCTCATATTACTTTTTATAACACATTTGTCTCTAACCAAAACATCACTGCCTCTGTGATTTCATTGCACTCTGCCACACTACTTCAATACTAAAACAGGCACAGCAAGAACTATAGCAGTGACTGCAACATGATTACAGACCACTCCTACGTGCAGAAACATGTTCACTGTAACCACTCAAATGCACCAAAAGGGTCTAAAAGGCTGAGGATCGCATGCTCATGGAGTGACTCCTCTGTGTCACTCAAACATTAGTGTCATTGTCACACAGTAGTGCTGTGAACTCAGTGCATTTCTGTCGTCTCTGTCAGTCTGGAGAGCGGCTAAAGCAGAAGACATCCTCAGTTCCTCTTCCTGTGCAGCCTCCAGCACTCTGGCTTTCCTTTCTTATCCTAAAAACTTAATTTTAAGAGTCTCACTCGTACTGGAACCCTCAGCGGCTCCTGAAGAAACCTGCGGCCTGCAGACCTCCATCTTTGGAGGATCAGGAGGCTGAGGAGTCAGGCAGACAGTGAGCGCAGAGCAGGGCTCAGTCTTTTGTCCTGTCACATGGGAGAGAAGTCAGCACAGTCAGGAGAGCTCAGTGAAACAGTGTCTCTCCCAGACCTGGAGCTCCCGTCCTCCTGCACACACCAGCAGGTATGACTCACTCCTCACCTGTGGCAGGCGAACCTGGAGGGAAACAGCAGGGGATACAAACAGTTTAAGAAAATGTGGATTACACCAAAATTGAAATGTGTTGACACAGCCTGTAGATCATCAGTGCAAAAATAAATACTTGCTGAGCACAAGCATTTCAAGACATTCAGAGCTTAAGTCAATGATTTGCCCTTCAATTAAAACCCTCCGTCAGTTTTATCTATAAACCTCTGCACAGCTGGATGGAGGTCTGCAAAGACTGATGAGTTTGTTTGACAAAGTAATCACCTGCACACAAGGCACATAGACCTCTCTCTAGTTTGTAAGCAATCAAGGATGTGTGCATATTTTAGCTAGGGAAGTATGACAGAGTACAGTATGTGTGTCTTTAGTGTCAACTAAAAGCACAACAGATTAGTATATTTGAATATCAAACATCGTAAGAAACCATAAGTACTGTCAAGAAGCCACAAGAGCCCATAAGAGCCCAGGCAACACAAGACAATTAAGTAATCAAAAGTGAAGAAATCAATAAAAGAGGAGGAAAAATCAATAAGAAGAAGCAAAGTAGTTAAATATAGGTCAAAGCAATAGGGTGAGAGAAGAGCAATAAAGAAAGAGAGGAGCTTGAAATCAAAGTAGTAAAACATTAAAACAACACAAACAATGTTAAACAGAAAAAATAAGAAGTAAAGACAACAAGAAAAGTTAGACACGATTTTAAAAGATAAAGCAGTGAAAGGAAACAAGAGAAATAAAGACACCAAGGCAAATTAACAAAAGCAATGAAAGTAGTAAAAAGAAAATTAAGAGAATCAAGAATGTAGAGCAGCTGAAATGAGGAAGGTTAAAAAGAAAACTTTAAAAATAAAATAACACAATCAGTCAAATTATAGCAAGATTAGACAAAGGTGGAGAAACACATAATACGCACAATACATCACATCATCAGACGTCATCAGACTGATGTTCAGATTTAGATTTTAGGGGAAGACGTCGTCTCTTTAACGATAATTTGTCATGCTTTTATTATTAACAGTTTTTCTGTCTTGTTTTTGTTGCTTTATTCCCTGCATTGTAAAACTGTGCACTTAATTGTAAGTTACTAAAGTAAATGAAAATAGCTATATGAACAGTTAGGAGGTACAAATTTTCATTTGATGAGTAACCCAAAGAGGTACCAGCTTCAGTATTGGTTTTGAAATTAAGATGAATCTTGGAAAGTCCAATTTTTAAAGTATTTAATCATCTCTCAGATGGATGTTACAGCTAGCTCACTTGCAGCTGGCTACTTCTTCTTCGTCTATCCTCATTTGGAAGATATGTGGCATAAAAAAAGCACTACCATGAGCTCCGAGTATCCCTGTATGATTATTTCTAGCATGTCATTGATATTTAAATTTTATGCAAAAACCATTACCATCAGTTCCTGTGTATTGCTACAGCCCTTGAAGTGGGTTTCAAGAAGAAGTAACAAAAGACAGCCCTGATTCAACAGGTCTATCCTCTACAGGCAGGTTGTTCCAGGTTCAAGGGTCCCTGGCAGCAAAAGCTCTGTCTCCTTTAGATTTCAGCTGTGACTTTGGAACAACCAGGAGGCTCTGGCTCTCAAGCTGCAGGCTAACACAGTGTTCTGATATATGGCCTGGACCCAGACTCATATAAAGGTTACAAGTTAATCTTAAAATCACCTCTAAAACTAACACAGAGCCGCTGACTCGGGACCATACAATGTTTGTCAAAAGCAGTAAAACTTGAAAGTCAGAGTTGTGTCTGAGTGTCGAGTCCATACCCGGTGGAAGAGGAGCAGGTGACGGTGCAGAGGAATCACCAGCGGGTAATGGCAGCCTGGGGGCGCCCTCTCCCTCTGTAACACATGTAGGTCAGACCAGTGAACAGACACACATAAAAAGAGAGGGGGGAGGGCTGCTCTGCTCATCTCACATCTGACAGACATATTCTTAGTTTGGCCTGCAGTGAACCTCCTCAGTTACTTTTACAACAACTTCAAAGCTCCTGAACAAGAGAGTCAGACATGCTGTTTGAAAGGTGTCAGAAAGAGACAATATGAGAGTGGATTAAAGATAGGCTTACATCCCATGGTGCATCCACACAGTGGGCAGGCAGAGCGAGAGATGCTGGGCAGACACTCAGCTCTGGGATCAGAGGAGAGAGGAACATCAGAGCCATGTTGTGCATTCAGCCTCTGGATGCACTGCTGTCCAGCCAGATTTATACAACTCAAGAGACAGAACAGAACCCAAACACTTCATATTTGAGGTGATGAAGGCGATGAGGATGTGAGAGTGGTGGGAGAAAGAAGAGGAGTGAAGGAGAAAGCGGTGCAGTGTATGGGAAGCGCAACACACAGACATTAGTGATCATCCACCTCACAGCTTCATTCATCAGTCGGTGCAGAGATCCTGAACGCTGCCTCTTTTACAGCTCAAAACACGGTATGAATTCATGGAAACATGTGTCCAAGTCCCCGCATACCGAGGCTATTCTTAGAGCGGGTATTTAGCACCATGTTCTGACTGAGGCCTCCAACATAAGCAGATGCTGCTGGGTCTCTGCCGCCCTGTGTTTATTCATATTGTCTGGAACTCATTCCACATCACAGCGCTCTAAAGTACTCTCTGCCCCCCCCCCCCCCCTCCCCCCCCCTCTCTCTGTGTCTGTGAGTGTGTGTGTGTAATAAGGTCATTCTGAAAACAGCCTCACCAGATTGTGTCTCACCAAGTGGGTCAAAAATGACACGATGTAAACAAAGCCACGTCTCTACCTTTATATGGCCATGAGAGGACCTTTTTTTTCATTGACTGCTGCATGGACACTCTGTGACTGTTCGAGGAATAATAAGGTTTTGTTCACCCTTCCAAAGTACGGTGGCCCACAAGGGAATAACAGCAACTCTGAGGGTAAACTGCACAAATATTTCATCGCTGCTAATAATAATCTAGCAACTGACAAAAACTGCAAAAAAAAAAAAAAAAGCTCAAAACATGTCTTATATACAAAAAAATGTGTATTTTATTGAATTCAGAAAAGTAGTTCTCTGTCTGGGGCCCCCAAGGTCCTGCTAAGGTGATTGTTTTTAATATGACATCCATATCATACTATACTCTGTGTGCATAAGTTTAAATCATCTTACAGGACTTTGGAGGCTCTGTAGCTGTGTGTGAATTTATAGAGGAGTTTTTTGGTTATTTGGTGAAGGTATAGTTTGAAACTTTTCTCTTAATTTTTCTCTTGTTTTGGACTTTGATTGTGGAGTTATGTCAGTTTGATTCGATATAATTCCTTCGTCTTGTTGAATGTTTTAAAAAGGATTGAACAGCTGCCAAAGCTATTCCCATTAAAACCGCACTTTCTTCACAGAGGCTTTAGACTTCAAAGCAGGTGACCCATTTGAGCCAAACCTTAAGTTTTATTTATTTTTTTATGTTTTATTTTTTATTTCATTTTGAATTTGCAACATTTCTAAATATGCTGCCTGTTAATGCTAACAAAAACTTTTGGCCTTTTGCAGCCACTGTCCTATAAACTTTGAGGAAACCTCCGTCACCCTTGTAAGAAGAATCTTTGAATGTTGGATCCCTGATATCCTGTCCTGATATGACAGTGGACACTAACAGAGAAACAGGAGGGAACAGAAAAAGTGTAGATGATGATGATGGTGATGATGAAGGTGATAGTGATGATAACCCCTTGCCTGTTTCCTTGTGTGTCCTACAGTCCTGCATCTCTGCCTTTAATCGCTCTGTTTCTTTCTCCAGCTCACAACATCTCTTCTCTGCGTCCTCTAACCGTCTGAAATGATAAAGACCAACAGAGGACAGACTTCTAATATCTGTAAGCTATTACCTGCCAACACATATTAATAACAGTCACATTAACCAGTAAATACCTCTGCAAGTCCTCATTAAGTCCTGATATGTGATCGGTCTGCCCTTCCTCTGTGGTACAGGTGTTAGTGGATGCAGCAGGACCAGGATCCAGAGTGAGAGGGAGCTCCAGCAGCTCAGGTAGCTCCTCTGGTAGAGTTTCTGTGAGCTGCCACAGCTGGCCCTGAGTTCAACCCCAATGAAATAATGAACAAAAGACACTGAGACACTGTTTAACCCTGATTTAAAAAAAAAGAAGTTTGGATACTGTGTAAAACATCATTAAACAGGCTGTGATGGTTTGAGAGTTTAGAAAGTAAAATGTTTTCCCTTGTAAAGAATTTCTGCTGCTCAGCAGTTCAGCGTCTCCTTTTGTTGTATTTTTCATTCATGATTCACTAAAAAATCTCAATGGATTTCAGGCAGGTCAGACTTCTCACTATGAAGCATTGTAGTAATATGTGCAGAATGTGGTTTGGCAAGGTCTCGCTGAATAGTTCAAGGTCTACCCTAAAAAAGGCAGTGTCTGGATGAGGGGGAATGTTGCAGCAGTATTAATGTCTCAAAGATGTAAAAGCTTTCTACGCCACAGGCACTTATCCTCATACCTTCAGGGATGCTAGCTTTTGAGTTGTACGCTTACAGACACAACGTCAATGATATTAACAAAAAATGTCAAATTTTTATTTTTCAGATAACCGTTTTTTTTTTAAACTAGTGCATGTCACCTCTGCTATGGTGAGTAGTGGCAAGCCCCTTTTTAGCTCTTTACTCTGGGATCTTCAAAAGCTATTAACAAGAGGCTAACAGGATGTGCGTGTACTGATGAATATACAGACATATACATGACAGAGAAAATCAATCTTGTGCTGCATTATCCAGGTATGTTTGTGGAGCTACATTTAGTGCAATTTAGTTTGGTTTACATGTGTTTGCATGTTCTAAAAGTCCAGCTTCAATTGGACTAAAGCATTAAATTGATTTTTTGAACAGCATTTGGAGCCCATGCAGTGAAATCCACTACAGTCCACTACACTACCATTAACAAGCAATGAGATTATGATTAATCATTTTCATTAATTATTAATGTACTGTTTATTAAAGGTTTATGCAGGGTTTAAATATCGGTTGTAAAAAATATAGATTAATCGAGATAGAATTTAGATTAAAATGTGTGTCAGTAGCACTTTGTAAATAGTTAATATGTGTTTTTTAAGCCATCTATAAACATCACTTAGATGGTTATTGTAAAGTTGCAACTGATGTTTGTAATACTTTGTTAATGATTAATAAGTGGTTTATAAACCACCTATAAACATTACTTAGATGGTTATTGTAAAGTTAGGGTTAGGGTTAGTTTTTAAAATTGTAAAATTTACAATTTATTACCATTTATAAGTTATGGTTATTGTAAAGTGTTACCGTACTTTTATATACCCAGCCTCTCTGGAGTGTCTTTTTTAACTCTGTCATGTTTCTAACCTGTTGGGAATTAGTGGAGAGATGTTGCTCCAAACTGTACAGTGTTTTGTTTCTCTATCTTATTTGTTTTGAAAAATTTTGTTGGCATCAATTATAAAATGACCGCATTTGTTTTTTTTTTTTTTATTGACGTTTTGCACTATTTTCAGTTAAATATAGGGTGTAGATGATTTGCAAATCATTAAAATCTGTTTTTTTTTTTTTACATTTTATAAAACATCAAAACTTTTTGGGGGATTTAAGTAATCAACAACAACAGAAAATACACAACAAATTTATCCTCCCACTTTGTGGTCTGTCTTAGCTGATAGATTTCTGGCCTCTTCCTTCTGCTCCCCTGCCTCAGTGCTGCACTCAAACATCCACCTTAACTACTTTCTAACATCTACCTGCAGGCCCCCACTTGGTAGAGCTATTTTCTCATCACTCTTCAGTTTCTGCATATAGGTGATGCTATCTCACCAGATTCTTTGGCATGTAGAGACTCTCAAAGTCCCTCAGCCTGGTGTGGTCAATCTGCATCATGATGTCCTGACTGCGGTCAACAGCACCTGTCTGACTATAAGAGGAGATTCATTCAAGGACACTTGGAGAGACTCCAGACCCCAGTCTCAGTCACATTAATGGTGATTTAGAGTTCACCTGGTGGCGGTGTAGGAGTATCCGACGAAAGCCATGTGTACTCCAACTGGAGCTCTATCCATGACGTCAGACAGTGTCTCCTGAAGAGAAAAACAATATGCAGCTGTTAGTTACATCCAAGAGGTGTACACTTTACTCTGTCGAAATTGAGTTTAGTGTTAGTTCAGACGGACCAGGAAGTCAAGCCCAGCCCACCATATTAGCTGACAGCTCAGGGCAGGATGCTAGAGCCAAATACAACTAAGTTCTTGTAATGATTGAATATCTTTTATGAAAGCGGTCCTGACTGAATTGGTAAGAAGGAAAAATATTATTTATCAATTCTTCATTTTCAACAGTAAATAAAATTGACCTTTTGTACATTCTCCAACAAAAACCTGGAAGCATTTCCAGTTTCTCATCGTGTGAACAAGAAAAAAGTAGGTTTTCTGAATCCTGGAGCCTGAGGCCAACATAAGTGAACTGCATGGAGAAGAAGTATTTAAAAATATGTTTTACCATTTCGGTGAGACAGTCATCCAGGATGTCGAAGTTGGAGGTGTCGGTTGGATTCGAAACATCAGGTATAAAAGGTGCTGGGAGTTTGTGGAGGGAGCCCCAGTCCAGTCCAGAGAAGAGAGGATGGCTCCTAAAGTCGCTGAAGCCTTTCCTCCCCAGACGGACCTCCTTATCACAGATGAGCCCGGAGATGAAGGAGTGAGCTCTGTCTGAAATCTGAAGGCCAGACGCTGGGAATTCAAAATGCTCCTGAGCATAAAAATAGACACAAAATTAATTATGTTAGTTATCTACAGTATATTATAACAGTGTTTTTTTCCCCTAATGAATAAGACTGAACATTTAAAAACAATAGAAGTCTTATTAAATTGTATATCTTTGTATTTTTGTGTCTTCAGTGTACCTTTCAGCATCACTTGAGCTAGAGCTGAGTTTTTTTAGTGGGATTAGTACAACATCCCAACAGAGGCAGCTGGTCCAGTTTGTAACAGCGGGACAAGCCAAGAAAAACTGCCCTAAAGCAGACAGAGCAGCGGTCCTGACTCCAGGCAAAGACTGGTCAATGAGAGCTGACCTTGACAAGCAGCTACGCTTCCCATTCGACATCACCACCACCACACTGAGACCCGACATCGTCCTGTGGTCCTCAACTGAGAAGCGAGTCCTGTTAGTCGAGTTGACGGTCCCTTGGGAGCAGAACATCCAGGAAGCGTATGAGAGGAAAATGGCCCGTTATGCAGAGTTGGTGGCAGAATGTGAAGAGAAAGGCTGGAGAGCATCAACCTATCCAGTTGAAGTTGGCTGCCGCGGCTATGCTGGCCTCTCAACAAACCGCTTCCTGAGGGACATCGGCTTCACAGCAGCAAAGGCCAGGAAGGTCCTACAGGATCTCTCAGAGGAAGCAGAAAAGGGAAGTTTCTGGCTCTGGCTGAGAAGAAAAGACAGGAGTTGGGGGAATCGAGATGCCACACAGTAAGCCTGAGTGCCGAAGTCCAGCTGCAGGGAGTGGCGGGGAGACGTCCCTGACCGCTGCCCCACCATCCTGAGATGTTCTGGTGATCAAAGGGGCGAAACATCAGTGAAGGATGGCTCCTAGCTGATGACCCTGCAGCTGGTACTTCTGTACTGACTGAAGTGGGCCCGATGGAAGCGGCCCATGAGGTTTCAACCTTCGCTTCCCAACCATCAGGTATGCGGTCAGGTGCAAGCCTGGCTCAGGGAGGAGGACGCCCCTGCCATGCAGAGTCTAGGGTCACTACCTGGAGAGGGGCGAGGCCAGGATGGCTCTCAGCCGCAACCCTGCAGTTGGAGTCTAGGCACCGTCGGAGGTGCGTCAGGCAGAAATGCCCTGCAGGTACCAACACCTATCTGTCACATAAATCTGCTTTCTGGGAAACCAGTGACTACTGAGAATAGATCAGTTGGAGTCCAGGGAAGACTGGAGGACTGTCAGGAAAGTCTGACTGGCAGCGGGGAAGACTGCAATTGGGGTGGACGGGCTAGTTACCCTTCCCACAGGCCAACCTAGGCCAACTCAAGCAAACTACAAGCAAAGAAAAGAAAAGACAACCCAGTGGTCCTCCGAGAGGTGGGATGAAAGAAGGACCAGTACGGACAGACGCAACGGCAACGAACGGAACGGACACGACAAAGGAAAAGATTCTCAGGACGTGCACGTGTGGATGGATGAAGGAAACAACCTTCAAGGGATTGAGAATTCACCAAGGGATCAAAAAGTGTCGCAGGGATGACCGAGTGCAACCTTGCACTGCCCAGGCAGATGAGACAAGAAGGGAACAAAGCCAGGTTGAGCACCACAGCGCTAACGAGCCCACTGTTGCAGATGGTCAAGTGCCATCAGAACCCCCTGACACAAACCCACTGGTGAACCCTCAACCGGAAGAAATGATCCCAACAACCGAGGACAGAAGGAAGGAGAAAGAACCTGGCAGAAAAAACAACATCTTGTGGCCAAAGGCAAAAGACTCTGACATCTGGAGCAAGTTGGACGATGACCTGGCAACCACTCTTAAGAACGTCCTCAAAGGCAAAGTGGAAAACAAAGTGAACATCTTCAGTGAGATAATCTACGATGAATGCCTTGGCAGGTTTGGCCAAAAGGAGAAGAAAAAGGAACACCTGCCCAAAGCCATGAGTAGAAGAGAAAAGGAAATCCTCCAGCTCGTGAAAGAACGAAGAGCACTACGCAAGGCTTGGAGAAAGGCTGAGGCAAATGAGAAGGAAGGCCTCCAGGCGTTATGGGATGAAGTGAAATGCCACCTATCATCACTCAGGAGGGCCGAGCGCATTCGAAAGAGGAGGAAGAGGAAAGAGAGTCAGCGCGCAAGATTCCTAAAGGACCCCTTTAAAATGGCCAGAAGCCTGCTGGAGGAGAAAAGGAGTGGTACCCTGGTCATGGCAAAGGAAGACCTCGAGGAGCACCTAAAGAGGCAGATGTCCGATGCAGGACGGCATCTCCCTCTTGGATCCCCTGGCCATGTTCCCCAACAAACTGCTCCAACCACAGAGTTTGAGCTAGTACCACCCAAGCTGAGTGAAGTGAGAGATGCAGTAAGAAGAGCAAGGTCGAGCTCCGCCCCCGGACCAAATGGAATTCCATACAAGCTCTACAAAAGATGCCCTCAAGTCCTGGAAGAGCTATGGAAATTGATGAGGCTGATTTGGAAACAACAGAGCGTCCCCGCTGAGTGGCGTAGAGCTGTGGCCATCCTGATTCCAAAAGATCAGGTTTCTTCCACCATCGGCCAATTCCGAAGCATTGCTCTATTCAACGTAGAAGGAAAGATTTTCTTTACTGTCATTGCCAAAAGAATGACCAAGTTCCTGCTACAGAACAACTACATCGACACAAGCTGCCAGAAAGCTGGTGTCCCAGGGTTCTCAGGTTGCTCAGAACACGCAACGATAATCTGGGACCAGATCCAGTTTGCCAAGAGAGAAAAGAAGGACCTCCATGTCGTATGGTTGGACTTGGAAAACGCTTATGGTTCTGTCCCACATAAGCTGATTAGTTTTGCCTTGGACTTTTTTCATGTGCCTGTAGGGGTCAAGAACATCATCGAGAGCTATTATGCGGACGTGAAGATCTGCCATTCCCTGCAGAGCTATACAACTGACTGGCAGCAACTGGGAAGAGGAATAGCGATGGGGTGCTCAATCTCACCCATCCTCTTCACAGCCGCTTTTGAGGTCATCCTGATCGGAGCGAGGACCATGGTCAGAGGAGTGCGCAATAGCGCAGGCCTACGATTGCCACCACTTCGCTGCTTCATGGATGATGTTACAAGCCTACTGCAGACCGCTGTGTGTACAGCACGGCTCCTCAAAAGGTTTGAAGAGTTGCTGTCTTGGGCCAGGATAAGGATAAAATCCAAGAAGTCTCGCAGCCTCTCAATCCGCAAGGGTAGACAAATGGACTCAGTCTCTTTTCTAGTGGCAGGAGAGAGAATTCCCGTACTTGCAGAACAACCACTCAGAAGCCTTGGCAGAGAATATACAGCGGATCTCTCAGACAAGCACATGGCAGCTGCATTCACAGACCAACTGAAAGAGGGGTTAAAAAGGATTGACCAGAGCTACCTTCCTGGCAAGTTCAAAGTCTGGTGTTATCAATTCACACTATACCAGCGGGTGATGTGGCCCCTAAAGATGTGTGAGATAACGGCAACAACAGTCATGAAGCTGGATGCCAAGGCCAACAACTACATCAAAAAATGGCTTGGGCTCCCAAGATGCCTCTCCGATGCAGCGCTGTTTGGAAGAAATGCACTGCAGCTACCAGTGAAGAACATCTCAACTGGTTATAGGCTGGAGAAGTCAAGGCTGGTGCTGGAACTCCGACAGTCAAGTGACCATCTGGTCAGAAATGCTGGGGCTAAGATCCGGACAGGCCGAGCATGGAAGGCAGAGGAGTGTGTGGACGATGCAATCTCCAGATTGAAACATCAAGAGCTTGTCGGAAGAACACAGCAAGGAAGGCGTGGCCTGGGCTGGGGAGAGCCACAAAAGATGTGGTCAAAGGCATCCTTGAAAGAAAGGAAACAGCTAGTGGTCACAGAGGTGACAAGGATGGAGGAAGACAGGTTCTTTGCCAAGTCTATTGGCCAATGCCAGCAAGGTCAGTGGACAAAGTGGGAGGGCTTCCTACCAAGGTCAGTAAAATGGAACGACCTGTGGAAGATGCCTCAGGCAAGACTGAGCTTTCTAATCAGAGCCACATACGACACTCTTCCTAGCCCAGCGAACCTGGCACAGTGGTATGGATCTGAGGACAACTGTAGCCTCTGCGAAACAGGCAAGGGAAATCTTCGCCACATCTTGTGCGGCTGTCCAACAGCCTTGGCCCAGGGCCGATACACGTGGCGTCATGACCAGGTGCTAAGAAAGTTGGCGGAGCACACAGAGAACATGAGAGTCCTGGCCAATGAGAAGACAACATCCCAACAGAGGCAGCTGGTCCAGTTTGTAACAGCGGGACAAGCCAAGAAAAACTGCCCTAAAGCAGACAGAGCAGCGGTCCTGACTCCAGGCAAAGACTGGTCAATGAGAGCTGACCTTGACAAGCAGCTACGCTTCCCATTCGACATCACCACCACCACACTGAGACCCGACATCGTCCTGTGGTCCTCAACTGAGAAGCGAGTCCTGTTAGTCGAGTTGACGGTCCCTTGGGAGCAGAACATCCAGGAAGCGTATGAGAGGAAAATGGCCCGTTATGCAGAGTTGGTGGCAGAATGTGAAGAGAAAGGCTGGAGAGCATCAACCTATCCAGTTGAAGTTGGCTGCCGCGGCTATGCTGGCCTCTCAACAAACCGCTTCCTGAGGGACATCGGCTTCACAGCAGCAAAGGCCAGGAAGGTCCTACAGGATCTCTCAGAGGAAGCAGAAAAGGGAAGTTTCTGGCTCTGGCTGAGAAGAAAAGACAGGAGTTGGGGGAATCGAGATGCCACACAGTAAGCCTGAGTGCCGAAGTCCAGCTGCAGGGAGTGGCGGGGAGACGTCCCTGACCGCTGCCCCACCATCCTGAGATGTTCTGGTGATCAAAGGGGCGAAACATCAGTGAAGGATGGCTCCTAGCTGATGACCCTGCAGCTGGTACTTCTGTACTGGCTGAAGTGGGCCCGATGGAAGCGGCCCATGAGGTTTCAACCTTCGCTTCCCAACCATCAGGTATGCGGTCAGGTGCAAGCCTGGCTCAGGGAGGAGGACGCCCCTGCCATGCAGAGTCTAGGGTCACTACCTGGAGAGGGGCGAGGCCAGGATGGCTCTCAGCCGCAACCCTGCAGTTGGAGTCTAGGCACCGTCGGAGGTGCGTCAGGCAGAAATGCCCTGCAGGTACCAACACCTATCTGTCACATAAATCAGTATTAAAAGCCAAAATGAACAATTAATGTGGCCCATTACCTGAAAGTGAATAATCTTGGCGTATGTTTCCGAGATGGACTCTGCGTAGAAAGGCGTGGTCCCCAGCAGCATCTCATAGGCACAGATGCCCAGAGCCCACCAGTCACATTCAGTACCATAACCTCCACCCTCCTCCACTGCCTTTAAAATCTCTGGAGACAAGTAGTCTGGGGTCCCCACTGCGAGAGAGGAGTGAACCTGCAATGAAATGAGGCGGCTGGTGGGTTATTTTTAGAAAGAGTAAAAGCACTTCATGAGCAGCATTCCCAGCAGTTGTTCTTGCATGAGAGTGGCCCGAAACAATGCTGGACCACAGAGTGCCTCTCACCATCCCGTCCTCAAGGAGCCTGAGACAGGAGCCAAAGTCTCCCAGTCTGATGTGTCCCTCAGCTGTCAGCAGGATGTTGTCAGGTTTGATGTCTCTGTGAAAGAAAAGCAGAAAAACATATTACCTGTTTCTGAAAGTAAGATTCATTTACTGGACACAAAAAGTCACAGCATGTTTTCATCCCATTTTATATTTGGGTGGGCCAGACACTTTCAAACCGCAAAGTGTTTCACAAACATAGAAATTAACAAATTAGAAGCTGGTCTACCATTTTATCAAATTTAGAGTCAACAAAGCCATCTTCAAGGAGATTTTCAGAACATGTTTTCTTCCATTTAACTAACTACTACTATCCAATGCAGATGCTGATTTCCTCTCCAGCAGGACTTGGCACCTGCCCACAGCACCAAAATGACCAGACTGACTGAATGCTGCTGTCACTCATTCTGTTGGTTTGCAGGGATGCACAACATCTTGAAATATATGCAGATACACTAGTTAGAGACAAAACTATGATTGCTTTGATATAGTGATCCAAAATACAAAAAATTGCTCATCTTACCCCACTCTCCTCTATATGTAAACTGTGTTGAGGTTTTGAAAGTTTACCTATTTGAATTTTTACAATATTCTAATTCATTGAGATGAACCCACCAATGACTTCATTATGTGCCTGTTTCCATTACATGCTGTGGTGTATTAATGTGCTGCTTCAAGAGTCAATCCCACACACTGAAGGGTTTTGTGATCTATCTTTGCATTTAATTTACATGAATTGGCACAATAACTCACAGAAAATTACAAGAAATAACATAAAAGTAACATAAAATGACACTGAAATGACAGAAACAGCAAGTATAGAAAGAAATACAGACCTATGTACATAGCCCAATCTGTGGACAGAGTCGATGGCCATGACCATCTCAGCTAGATAGAACTGAGCCATGTCCTCAGGGATCCTGTCTCCAAACTTACTAAGCAGAGTCAGAAGGTCCCCTCCTACATAGTAGTCCATCACCAGGTACTGAGGGAACGCAGGGGTAGACAGGTGCACACATTAGACACTGTACTGTGTTAAAAATATTTCCTTTGCACTACTGATTGACCGTGCTGATGTGTACCAGACAGTTGTCATCCTGAAAGGCATAATGCAGCTCTGTGATCCAGCGTCTGTCGCCCCTCAGCAGAACCTCCCTCTCCTCCTGGTAACATGCCGTCTGTAGGACTCACAGAAATACACACAGTGACTGAGAGGCTGATACCACATATCAACACCCATCATGGAACTCAGTGCATTATTTGGTCTCTAACTTTTCTGCCCACATTAAACCTGCTGAGACCTGGCTTTAATGTTTGTCCTGTGAATGTGAGTATAGTATGTTTCAGTGTTCACCTCTCCTCGCCTCAGCATGTCCCACTTATTCATGATCTTTAGCGCATACACTTGTTGAGTACTCCTCATCCTGGCCACAGCAACCTGCAGCACAGACAGGACAGATAAAGCACCTGAGAGCAGCATTTAGAAACACAAACTGCTCCTTTACTCAGGACATCAGAATCTTGTAGATTTAGAGGTCAATAAAGGTCAGAATGGTGAATAAATAATTATATAATATGGGCAATGTAATTTTTTTTTTTTTTTTTTTTTTTTTACAAACAAATAGTTTTTTTTATTTTAAAAAAAATAAAACAACATGACATAAACCACCAATAGACAGAACAGTGATAATCACAAAAACAGACAAACGAAGCTAATTAAAAACAATTAACACAAGCACACACCAAAAACATAATTACAACATAAAACATACAGTGCATCAGCAAATTAAATAAATAATAATATAATAAAGGGTAGAAGGAAATAAAATCAAAAATAAAAAAACATCAAACTGTACACCAAGTTTTGCTTTCCATTTTTTTATTTATTTATTTATTTATTTTAAAGCAAAATTTGTAATGCATTTCTTTAGAGGTTGAAGTTGTTGCAAACAGGAACGCTAGTGTAGAGCAAATACTTGAGACGTCCATCAGCCCATTATTTTTAACTCTTATCTCACCTTAATCAAAACAAAGAGACTTTTTTTGCTCTTGGTAAAGGGTTATTTGGAGTTTTTTTTAGTATATTTTATTGTCAACAGTAAATTATTAGAGGCCCACCCTTTTTGTTAGGAAAGCATCTGGAGAACTGGAACCATAGCCAGACAGTCAACCTCTGTAGTTGGGACCAACTCAAGCACACAATTTAGATCAAGACCAAATATAAAGCAGGTGTACGCCCAACCTCAATAAATTCTTGCAATCTGTGTTGCCTCCAAAAGGCACTTTGATTTTGAACTTTTCTTGAATGTTAGACATGCCCGTACTGCTGGCAGTGCACTGATCAGCTGTGGTTTCCGGCGCAGACCATCTCACCTCACTGAATGTGCCGCGGCCGATCACCTTCAGGATATGGAAGTCTTCCCTCTTGATTCGAGTCCTCTTCACCTGCCTGACCAGCGGCTCCGCTGTGATTGAAGGAGAAAAAAAGGAGAAGGCACTTGTTTCAGTGATTCAAAGATGAAGGACTAGATAATGAGATTTGATGATTTCAGATTTCAGCCAGCCTGTCATTGCAGCAACTGTTTCTAAATACCCCTCAGTCACCCAGCACTCTGTAGCCCAGCACTCAAGAAGCCTACTCCAATGTTGCCATGCTACAAAGTCGGGCTGTCACTGTCTGTTTAAATGAAGTAAAATATTGAAATGAAAAAACTAAGCCTATGATAACTCTGTGACCTCATAGCAGTGATCCTTTACACTGGTTACTACGTGTCATAAAACAGAAAATAAACAAAGAAGAAGTAACAGACTGCAAGATGGCTAGCTGAAGCAACTTCTGGTTACTTGTCCTTTAAACTGTTTTTTACTCCATTCTGTAATTTACCATCTACCAGAAGTGGTTAACTTCAAAAACTTCAAAATAAAAGCCTTGTCTGACAATGAAGTGTCCTTTAATGACAACAAAAATACCATCAAAAGCAGGGTAGGATGTTTCTGTTGGGCCTTATGCTGATCATGTCATGCAAATCTCCAGTTGAAATCTTAAATGTAATCTCTTTGTGAACTTTGACAAATCAAAACAGTGTAATTGGGGGACTTAAACTTGTGACAGATTGGACTCAGGGAATCAGAAGTCATCAGTTTGAGTGTGTTAACAGTCTATAAATATATATTTGTGTGCATGCGTATGCATATGTGAGTGAGAGAGAGTAAACACTGACCACAACTAAAAGGTTATATGTACATTTTTTCTTTAAAGTTTCAGTTTAGGATGAACTCCTTGGCCACTAGCACCACCAGTGCATACTGCACATTTGCGGATGTTGTTTTAAACACAGTTAACAGAGCCATGTCACAAATTTAAGTCTGCTGGCCTAAGGATCCCAAACCTGAGACTGGACCTTGAGGATAGTCCTTGTTGCCAGCATCTTCAGTTTGACAGTACCACTCCTGATGTAATTATGATCAGAAAACAAAAGAAAACGAGCTCCTGCCTTGGAGACTTTAAACCTCTGTAACAAACAGTTGAATAGCAGGAAACTTTTAGATGCTTAGATTTGTAGCTTAACTCTAAATGAGGATTTTTAACCTTGATACGAAACTGAGTTCAACTCTTTGATCTACTAGTTGTCCTCAGTGTGAACTGTCTTTCTGCTCTTCTTTCCTCAGATGTGGTCTTTGGCTGCAGAAACCCTCGGCTAAACTGTGAGCAGTGCGTGTCTGCCCTGGGTGTCCTTCCAGCTGAATCGAGGATTGTATTTTCCATAAAGGGAGTTTCTCTTCATCCGAGTGACTGTCTGGATGTGAGGGATTCTGTGCAGCTAAAAATAGCAGCTATCATTCATGAGTCTATTACTTTCATGTCTATTTCTCTCCTGCTCACACAGAGAAGAATGAGAAAAAGGCAAAGTCACAGCTGTTTTTAGATTAAAGCGAGGAAGACCAGACTGCACAGACAAACACTGCAGAACTAGAGGTTTCCACACACAGAGGGATCATTACAAGAGAAAAACACGGCACCTCTTAGGTCCAATTAGTCATGTGACCTGCTGCATCAGGAAACAAACTGATGAATCACATTTATTCCAAATTACAGCAATGATAATGTGAAAATCTGTAAGATCATATAATATTAGTAAAGTGTGAGAAAATAATTACTGTTATAACTGTTATGTAATAATTAGTCTGTTTTTAACTCATTGTTAGGTGTTTCAAAGCTCTGCTGTTCTACCCTCTCAGGCGGATCTTGTTTTTTTCCTTTTCACCCTCTTCCTTTATTCTGTTACTTTCTCTTTTTGTTCCTCCCCTCCACAACTCCCCACCTCTGCTTTCCATAACTCTGCACTGTCACTGCACTGGATTTGAACCCATAACCATCTCTTCGATAGAAAGAGCTCTAACCACCACACCCTTGCCTGCCTGTAACTGCTTTTAACCTCTTTTCATTTTAACGTTTTATGTTAAGAATTTTAGATGCTGGGTTCATTCTATAGAAAGTGTCTGCACCAGGTAGATTTGAACCCATGACTATTTGGCTTAAAGGCAGGAGCTCTAACCGCCACACCACAGACTTGTCTTCCAGTTTTTTTTCCTTTTACACCACTTTAATTTGACCTTTTTCATCAGTGATGCAGGTTGAGGAAATTATTGCACCACACTCAAACTCAGAACCATTAGATTTAGAGGCAGTAGGGTTATCCACCACACCACAGGACGAGGACGATACAGCGGTCATTTCATTTAAGAGTCAAAAAGAAATCCATCAGAACGCCAATCTGGAGTTTCACTAATGGGTCAATTTTAAGGTCAATCATTCTTCATTAAAAATACTCAGTCATGGATTCAGCTCCCAGAATCCTAACACATGGAGACAGTCTTTGTTTTGGGCCAAAGACACTGCAGTTCATCCTGTGCTCTGTGCTTCCTGCAGCTCTGTACTTACACAAATATCAGTGTTCATGTGAGTGTGTGTGTGAACAGGATGTCTGTCCATCCTGTGTCTGTATGCCTGCTAGTTGTCATTCAAGGTTAACCCTGTCTGTGCTCTGCCAACCTGCCAGTCCCCCCTGTGACAACAGACAGAGACAAAGATTTTAGCAGCCACATTTGTGACAGGAAAAGAGTGTCCAACAGCACAAAAACACCCTCAAGTAGCCTGGTACATATTTGTTTATTTCCACACCGGACAATCCCTTTACAGAGACTAAAAATACACATACATTTGCAAATACACACAGAAAGAAAGGGGGGAAAGTTGTCACTGTTATTATATCTTTCAGTTTCTTTCAGTGGGAGACAGTGGGAGTGATGTTTGGTTGAAATTGGCCGGTCTTATGAACAGTATCTCAGTTTTGTTTGGGCTTAGATGAATAACTAAATGATGAGTGTCTTGACTCTGAGAGATAAACGGTCTCTTCATAAGCTTGTTCTTCATTCCTCTGAATGAGACAAACAGCACTGAGAAACCATCATGTGATTATGTCTCATGACGGCACATGTCGCTGACTAAAATCCATTCATACTCTCAACTCTTAGGGAAACAAACACCAGTGTGTGTCTCACTGTTTTGCATAAGTATTACTATCAAAACTGTAGATTAAAGTTGATCATTGATGATTATTAAAGTCCTGTGTTTGTTAGAGGTGCAGCAGACAAGCATCGCAAGCTACTCAAAGGTGCAGGTTCTGCAAAGTTCTAACTTTCAACAACACAAATAATGTGGTTCAAATATTTATCCACATGTAGCTCTCTGACAACAACTCTCTACATGGAAAATCCACAGGTGCATCAGCTACAAAAAACAGTATGTGCCCTCTCAGGACTTAAACATGGTCTGCAGGTCAGATACAGCTTTTTATGACCCACATAGGGCTTGGTATTTATTCTTTTAATGTGACAATGTGATATGGTTTCCATGTGCTTGGTCTGCCCTCCTGCTCCTGTTTACAGTGACAGACACTAACACCCGTCATGCTGAATAACACCATTAACAGGTCCCTCTTGTACATGCTGTTTCCTGTGTATGTGACATGTGAGGAGGAAACGGAAAGAGATGCCACAGGCTGGTGGGAGGCTGGAGGAGATACATGTGTGTATGTGTGTGTGTAAAAGAGACAGAGAGAGGGTGAAGCCTGAAGCTTAATGAGAAGGTTCAGTTTTGGAAGGACAAGATTTTTGTTAAAACGTAAGACCTTGCGGTATGGTGAGCTGTGAAAACACTGTAAACAGAGATGTGTATTCTTTCACTACAACATTTCGCTTTTTTAGCCATAATGAGCAATAAACCACAATGTCCGTGATTTATGTGCAATTTTGGAAAAGCAAGGTAGATGATGAGTTTTTTCATCCATGACCTCGCTTGTGTAGCTCCTACATTAACCTGTACTGATCTGTACCTGGACAGCTATGTGATGCATCATGATATTGAACTGAATCTAATACCTAATGTTAATCATTATCAAATCAAATCAAATCGTTAGAGAGTGATAATCCACAGCCCTGTCATTCATGTCATATTAATAAGCTTTCCCAATTTTACATCTTTATATGATATTAAAGTTGCTGACCATAGATCCCCCTGATATTTCTGAACTCCCTTGTCTCGTAGGTAAACTTGGATCACAGGTGCAGATGGCCTGCTGCCCTGGACCTGCCATTCTCCATCTGCTACAACTATTAATACCAGTCTGACTTTTTTTTATCATGACTTAAGTTTCTTGTTAATCATAGAGCTGCCTGACAAAACTGCTAGAAGTAGTTCTATTCATTTGCACATATCTGTAATGTTATAATTGGCATAGTAGCCATACATCTATATTGTCTGTAATTGTTCTGTCATTGTTTTTGTCTCCTGTCTTCAAGCCCATCAC